GGAAGTGAGCTGATGCCACAAGGAGGTTGTACCAGCTGTGAAGGCACAGCCTTGTCAAGAATAGTACTGCAGCATTTCAATTCGGTCTGGTGCAACTCTTTGTGTAGTTTTAACATGAAAAATGTAGTCAAATTGAAGAGCGAAGGAGGTGCTAATTGTGTTTGTTCTGGTATGCCAGAGTGATGGAAAGCAGCATAAGGAATATGTATTGTATTATATTAACATGGTGAATTGATTAACAAGTTAATCTTATTCAGTCAGGTATGTGTAGACTGCAGAAACTATGCAGATAAAGCTGCACACATACTTTTTTGTGGTCTCTTATAAATTGGAAGTTGTCAGGGGAGGGCAGTTGTGCCTTGGCTGCTCTTGGGTAGGGTGCGCTCTGTATTGTCAAGGTGGAAACTTTCTTTGTGGGTTATAAAAGGTGGTTGGCTTCTCTTTTATCCATGATTACCCTTGTTTTTCTGGGTGTGTTGTGAAATCTGGACTGTACAGTGAAAGTAATTATTGACAAAAAAACTGCAGAATCATAGTTCCTATTCTTTCAGCAATATTTGCACGTGGCAGGAGCTCCATGGACTCTCCATTTCCTCAGAGAACCCTTCTGAAAGGACAATAAAATCTCTTTCTATAGCCAGAAGAGAGATACTGAGGTTTTTTTTTCTCTTCCCTGAAAACCACCATGCTCCACTACGAGCAGAACTGACCTTGGCCTTCAAGCCGCGTGCCAGGGCTGGAATCTCTGCCCTACGTCACCGCTGCAGCAGTTGTGTCTGCCCGTGCCACACTATCTCTTTGCTTTGGGTTTCTGAGGCACCGTGACACTTGCCATGCAGTATGCAAACTACAGTCATGCATTCTGGAGCATTCCGTGAGGTGCTCAAGGCTTCGTTTTGGCTGGTCGTGGTGTTCCTGGTGGCTTTGTGGGGTGGGTGCGATCAGCAGGTACTGATAGAGTAAAAAATTGCACTGGGGGGAAAGCTTTTGAGCAGCCCATCTATTGCAAGGTCCTCCCTGACCCTTGCATGGGACCTGCCCATGGGACCCCCATGCAGGTGGGTGTCTGGGCTCTGCCCAGAAAGCTGCCGTTCCACATGCCCCCGAGATCCCTGTAAGCCATGTTTTTTGGCTCATTGCAGTGTTACTACCAATGTGTTTTGCTAGCACCCTTGAAAGGTCTCCTAGAAACTGGAAAATAGATCATTAAAGGGTACCATTATCACAGCTCACTCTGAGTTGCTCACGTTCTATGGTTTTTTTTTTCCTTACAATTTTACCTCAAAAAATAAAAAAGAAGGTTAATTGGCAACTTTTTAAAATCAAGGACATCCCTGGGCAAATCCTTCCACTCTCTGGACAACGGCTGCTGGTTGTAAAGGTTCTGGAGAGGGCTGGAAATGGTGAGGATGCTGCATAGCTCAGCCTACAGCTGAGCCACTCCCCGGCTGCTGAAGCACCAGTCTCCCAATGCGGTGGGATGCTGGGGCTGCCTGGTGTCAAGCCCGATGGTGGGAGTGTTATAAGTGGAGGAGGCTGTCTCCCAGCCAGGGTTAAACTCTGGGGTCACCAGCTCCCTCTGGTTTCCACATGTAAAGGGGCAGCTGGGGCAAGTGTGGCCAAGCAGATGTGGGTTTGTGGAAGAGCCTGAGCACCTCTGGGATGCTCAGCCCAGCACCCACTGTAGGTAGAGGCATATAGGTCCACTACGCACGCACGAGCATGAAGGTGTGCTTGTACTTGCACAGCTCATCTCATGCAGAAACAGCTGTTCAAAAAGCTGTTTAAAAAGCCACCCAAACCTTAATGGCTAACCTATTTTGCCGCTTTAAATAATTAAGCCTCAAAAATACACCAAGGTCTTCTGGGGGTCCTGCTTCTGTCATCATAACAGCTACTCCTGTGAGAGTCACTTTTTCTCATTTCCTATCTGAAATACATGGTGCAAAGAATAGGGAAAGTACAGCATGGAAGGCCTATGGAAAAAAAGATAACTTTTTCACATTTCTGATTGCATAGAGAGGAGAAAAAAGGTAACGGGTCATTAGAGGAAAGATTTGGTTCTGCTGGGATCTAAAAGATTGCTGGAGAAATACCTAAAGGACTGGATAAGTACCTAAAGGGGCCAAGAAGAAATCTGGAGAGGGACTTTTTACAAGGGCATGTAGGGACAGGACAGGGGGAAATGGCTTTAAACTGACAGAGGGGAAATTTAGGTTAGGTATTAGGAAGTTCTTCAGTATAAGGGTGCTGAGGCGCTGGCACAGGGTGCCCAGAGAAGCTGTGGCTGCCCCATCTCTGGCAGTGTTGAAGGCCAGGTTGGATGGGGCTAGTGCAAGGTGTCCCTGCCCGTTGCACAGGGTTGGAACTGGATGAGCTTTAAGATTTCTTCCAACCCAAGCCATTCTGTGATTCAAAGCTTTTATATCTGCTGCTAGTTACTTCATAATAGTGTTTGCTCTATGGTAGCACCTTGAGCTGAGTGCCAAGGCTGTGCTGCACTGGGTGCTCGTGCAGCCATGGTGCAGGGGGAAGCAGGGTGCCCTGGGCACTGCTGGGGGCAGAGCAGTGGGATTGCGCCGGGAGGAAATGGAGGGTGAGACATGGAGATGTTAGTTGCATCAGGACTTAGTTATGGTAGGCAGGCTGCAGCCAACTGTATCTGCTCCATTTAATCAGTAATTCAAGAGAAGCCTTGGAAAATTGAGATTTGTCAAGGAAAGATAGTTGAGAAGCATCTACAGATGAGTCACTGATTCTGATTGATACAGCTAAAAAGATGAGAAATCGCCCAAAATGTTTCTTACCTTAAGAACAGACGATAAAATTGCTGTTCCAGCTATTAACCTACAATTTAGGTAGGTAGGTAGGATCTACATAGGTCTCTTGTGAAGAACAAAGGTAGCAGAATTCCTGAAGGACACAATTGACAGCAAGATTGGAGGAGAGTGGTGAGCCTGGGTCTTTATCTCACCAATAATTGTCCCATTTTGCACTTTACTCTCATGGTGTGAGGGGCGTAGAAATACTTCAGCAAAGAGCTCTGACCTGCGTGAGGGGCAAACTGCACCAGTACTCTGGTAACAGCACTGGTCCTTGGTTGAGATTAAGCATCCCAGCTAGTTGTTCATGTAACAACAGCAGCAGTCCCTTAAGTCTTGTCTGCACTGGGAGGTATTTTTCAGCCTGTGGTATGATTTAAACCAGTTGAATAGTAGTTCCTCATCTGTTCTTGAGGAAACACGTTTTCTTATTTAAAACCTCTCTCTCCTCAGTTAAGTTTATGTCTCTTAGGAGGAGGAAGAAAAGGGTATAGATAGTCTGGGCTAAAGAAGCTACTCTTATTACTGTAATTAATATATCTGAGCAAAAGATGATAACAAGGCAGCTGCCCTTACACTGGTGTATCATTGTCCTTGCCACAGTTCTCCTTAAGAATGATTGTTCTTAAAGCTATTTCACTCTAATTTGTTTTAAATCCCGATATCCTCAGGACTGCTGCATATGTGAGTGCGCGTTGCAGGATCTCCCTGTGGTTGGGTAGTAGTGAAACGAGATGGGGAAGAGGAGGGGGAGAGGTAGGAGAGGGATAGGAGAGGCAGGGGACCAGTGCCCGCTGCAGTCTCAGCCTGGCAAGTGCAGGGCGGTGGTGCTGTGCATTGTAACTCACTGCAGAGGTGGAAACCCTGGTAGAAAAGCTGGTGGTTAGCACAGAGAAAACACATATCTTTCCTAATTAAACCTCGTCCCTGCTGCTGCTCTTTCAGTGTGTGAGATCTCCCCTTGCCTTTGTCATTCCCTCATGGACAAAGCTGCCTGCAGGCTGTAGAGAGGCACTGGCCATGGACAGAAGGGCTTCACATCAGGACAGTGTTCCCTTGCCCTGGAGACTGTGATGGTGCTTGATCCCTTGCAAGACTTCATGGTGTGGGTTCTGGCTGCCATCTCTGCCGGGACTGTTTTCTGTTTCAGTGGACTTTGGGTTTATTCATACTGTTGGCCCAAATGAGGCTTGGGCTTTTCTGACTATAAAGATTTTTCTTCTGAGAAGTCCCAGCATTGACACATTCACTTTTAATTTGATTAGTCAGAGCTCACCTGCAAGCAGTCAAACAATACCAGAAACAAAAAGCAGGTCTAATTTTGACCAAGTTGCGGTGACCTACTGACTGTTAGAAGCTAATTGCCTCATCTAGTGTTTTGAGACAAAGGGAGCTTTAGCAAATAACTTAAAATGCTGTTGCTCCCCAGACTGCCTGGGTGTGTGTGGACTTGTGATCCTAAGCACCTCTCCTGCTGCTGTGCTTTCCAGAAAAGCAGCTTCTCCATGGATCTGATCAAACAAGTGGGTGGCAATGCACATCAGGATGGAGGCAATGGGGCAAGTACCAGCCAAGGGGGAAGGGTTTAGGCATGTGGATGGGGGCAAGCATGAGGAATACATGTTTGGAGAGGAGTGATGGCAACAGGTAGATCTGAAAAAGGAAGAGGAAATAGGTAGAAAAGAAGCAAGACAAAGAAGAAAAGAAGAGCTTAAGGGGGTTTGACAGCTTGGGAACATCTGTTTAAATTAAGAATCAAATGGATAAAGTAACCTCTAGTGAAGCGGTACTTCATGAAATGGGTTCATGTAGCTTAATGAGTATTGAGAGACCTTTTTTGATGTACTGGTGTCACTGTTGGAGCCCAAATTACATGAACACTGCAACAGCCAGTCCCAATTGTCTTCTCTTTCTAGGCTGTGCTGTCACTGTGTCTGTACTTTGTCACATATTGTACCTAGGGGCAATGTCAGGAGGGGCACCCCAGAGTGGTCTTCAGCACGGTCAAAGTGAGGTTTGGCTTAGCTGTTGATTGTCCCCTTTCTGATCAGTGCTTGGCTTGTCCCATCACCGAAACATGATCATTATCACAAGCACCATCCACTGTGCTTACCTGTGGCTTGTCCTGATCCCATTTGCTGACCCTTTCCCTTGTTCTCTTTCTATTTTATGCTGCAGGTTGGAGACTGGCCATGAACATGTCTTGCCCATTGACTATTACTTTCCACCTCAAAAGACTTGCCTGATCTGTGGAGATGAAGCATCTGGGTGCCATTATGGAGCCCTCACTTGTGGTAGCTGCAAAGTCTTCTTCAAACGGGCGGCTGAAGGTAATGCATACAGAGGGAGAAGGGAAAATCACTTCCACCTCCAGGTGTTGTCTTTCTCTACCACAGTAGCCGGAGAGTCAAATGCTGCTAATCATGAGTTCTTGTTATCAGCAGCCAAGTTATTAACATCTAGATGCTGGAGGCATTTGCAGCATCGCGATATGTTCTCCTCTGGTTGAAAGAAGTTCAGCAGCCTTGCCTTGGACAGCCTGTGAGGTCAAAAGAACTGAGGCAAGAGTGGTGGGAACAAAGTGCAGAGGCTTTCTAAGGTCCCTTGAGCTAGTAAAGGAGAAAATTCAAGGATAAATTTCTTTGTCCCGTGTTTGTCTTTCCCATTACAGGCTGCCTTCAGAAAGTGTGCAAACCAGTTTGCCAAAACACAGTCCTTTTCAATGCCCGATTATCTTTGTGACCCAGTAAGACCCTGGAGCAGTCAGTTCCTGCTTCTCCTCTTCACATTCAAGTGTGCACTAAGTTCCCATCAGCCCTCCTACGATCTGAGACCCACAACTCCAAATTTAGGGATGCTTTTCCTCTTCTGTATCCCTTGATACTCACAAAATAGCAGAACCATCTGTCCATTAAGAGCAGAGCTTTGTCCTTGGCATCCATGGTGCTTCGCCCTACCTCTTAAGAAAGCAACTTTTCCATGTCCAGCTCTGTAGTGCCAGGCTCTCCAGAGATATGTGTGAACCCACATGTTCCCTCTCAACAGCAAGCTCTTTGCACCGTCTTTCCTTGGTAATTAGCATCTAGAAGTATCTAGCCCAACTATTTCCTTGTGCTGTGGGTCAGCAGTACCTGGTTTCTAACTGCAGTTAACAGTTATGATTCCCTGGCAACAGAGAGTCTCTGTTGTGGGAGCCTACCTGTCCAGTAATGTAATGTGCCATCTGACTTGTTTCCTAATGAACCAATACAAATCATCATTCTTCCTTGGTGCTAACATAAATTGTTCAGTGCACCACATGCACACACCATTGGCAGTTGTTGTTAGAGGTGATGGCATCCCTGGGAGAGGAGGTAGTGCAGTTCCTGGCTGGTGGCCAGCAATGGGGGTGGAAGGCTTCTCTCTCTGGTTCATCTCACTGTGATGTTCCCCTCCTGTGCTTAACGTCATCCTTGTGTGGAGTGGAGTTCCCACACTGATGGGTGCTCACCTGGTAGTGTCGGAACACTGCTTCTCAGTTAATTCTAGCATTATCCTGTGCGTTTTCAGAGTCTCTTTTCCCTCCTTCATCATGCATGCCAGAAGTGAACTTGTCAGCACTGGTTCAGGGAAGAATCAGGGCTGTGCCGTAGCGTACAACAGCATCCTGTTACCATAATGGGACTGTCAAATAATAGATAATAAGTTTGGCATGTCTTTCCCCTAGTAAATCATTTACAGATATGTCTCTTTGCTATACACCAATTCTGTGTAAGGCCAAATGGATTGGCTTGCACAGCCAGAGTAAATAACAGATGCTTGTTTGAGTCAGGCAGTTATTGTTGATTTATAGTAAGTGGAGTCTTGGCTCTCTGTCAGAAAAACTGCTGATGAAATGCCCCGTGTCAATTGGCGAGTCCCAGCGTGCTGCTCTTCCTCCTCCAACCCCAGGGTAGGCTCTGGCTGGTGTGGGGTGAAGGCTGATACTTCATAGAATCATAGAATGGTTTGGGTTAGAAAGGACCTTATGATCGTACAGTTCCAACCCCCCTGCCATGGGCAGGGATACTGCACACTAGACCATGTTGTCCAAGGCTCTGTCCAACCTGGCCATAAATACTGCTAGGGATGGAGCATTTACCAGTTCTTTGGGCACCCTGTGCCAGTGCCTCACCACCATCACAGTGAAAAGAACTACTTCCTTATATCTAACCTGAACTTCCCCTGTTTAAATGCATTACCTTTTACCTGTTACCTATAGTGCATTAAATGCACTACAGCCCCTAATGAAGAGTCACTCTCTAGCATCCTTGTAGGCTCCCTTCAGACCCTGGAAGCTGCTCTGAGGTCTCCACGCAGCCTTCCCTTTTCTAGACTGAACAGCCCCAGCTTTCTCAGCCTGTCTTCGTACGGGAGGTGCTCAAGCCCCCTAATAGTCCTTATGGTCCTCTTCTGGACATGTTCCAACAGTTCCATGTCCTTTTTATGTTGAGGACACCAATACTCCAAGTGAGGCCTCACGAGAGCAGGGTAGAGGTTTAGGATCGCCTCCTTCGACCTGCTGGTCACGCTCCTTTTGATGCAGCCCACGATACGGTTGGTTTCTGGGCTGTGAGCGCGCACTGAAGCCGGCTCATGTTCAGTTTCTCATCAACCAGCACCCCCAAGTCCTTCTCCTTGGGCTGCTCTGAATCTCTTCTGTGCCCGACCTGTAGCTGTGCCTGGGATTGCCCTGACCCAGGTGTAGGACCTTGCACTTCACTTTGTTGAACGTCATGAGGTTGGCATCAGCCCATCTCTCAAGCGTGTCAAGGTCTCTGTGGATGGCATCCCTTCCCTCCAGGGGATGGGAAGGGATCCAACCGAACCACATTTCAATGTGTTCTCATGTTTCAAAGTCCATAAAATGCATTTCTGAAGCCCTTATATTTTGTCTGTGGACTCTTCTTAAAACAGTAAATCAGAAAGCTTCCTGAAAGTGAGACGAGAAACCTTTTCTCCTGCCTGTATTACCTTCCTATTACTGGTGTAAGACAGCAGTCTCTGATGGGTAGAAGCAATGGAGTAGGAATGGAAGAGCAGCGCAAACAGATCACCTTGAGGAGAATGGAGAATAGCTAAACACATAGCTTTTCTTTTATCATATTCTTCACCTAATATAATATTGAACTTTTTTAGTAGTAATTTAGGGGGTATTTAAGAAGGTTTTATAGATATACACTGCCTTCTAAGGGATTAGAAAGGGAAAAGATTTAAAAAAAAAGTGAAAGTTATGACATTGATTCCTCTTCCCTTTTGAAACACGCTGAGGGATTTGTATGGTTTCCAGTAGAGCTTGCTTTGGTAAAATGTTTGACAGATTTGAGGATTTTTGCAAGTTCAGATCCAACCAGTTCTTCCAGAAAGATGCTGGAAGAGTTAGCGAAGAAGACATGAGTATTTCCTTGAACTCTTTCTGTCAGCTCTCTTGACTTCTCTCTACACATTCTCCAGGTTATGTGTAGAGCAGCTTTAAAATGCTGCAGATTCTTCAGCTTGTGAGGTGGGCAGCCTCAGTTTTGTAGTCAAACCTGGTATTTGCCTCTCCCTTGCTCTCACCCCATTCTGGTGTCCAAGTGCTTGAAGGATCCAGAGGGCTGGGGTTCCTGCAAGGGAGGAGGACTCCTCCTTCCGATTCCTCTTTCTCCTACGGTAACAAAAGTTTGGTAAGTAAAAAGTGCATCCATCTCAGCATAGACTTTGATTTTTCTCGACTCAAGTATGCAGGGCAGCATTCCGCATGGTTAGGATGGCTCAGATGTTACAGACATTAGGGTTTCGTTCTCGTGATACCACACTTGTCCCTGAAACTAGACAATGCTTCAAGAACAGCACACTTCCAAATTTGTTGCCCGTCCAAGTGTTGCTGTTGTCCCATCCCATGCAGGCAGGGAGTAATTTCTGAGTCACCTGCATCCATCCCTCAAAAATCATAGCCCTTCCTCATCCCTCCAGGGTTGCACGAGGTCTGATGGCAACCTTGGCCAGCTGAGAGCTGCCTCTGCGCAGTGTTCTTGGCAGCGCAGGGCTGGGATGTCTCAGGCTGTATTCCTGATGGGATTGACTTTATATAGCAGAGAGCTAAATGAAAAGAAAACCAACAAACCAACACATTTGGCATATTTCCTAGAGGGCTAACAGCCAGACTGCTGTGCAGTCTGTTCCGATTCCCTTTCAGTCACTCTCCATATGGATTATTGTTCTACACCCTGACCTGCTGAAGATCAGCCTTGCACCAGGGAAATGTCTCTGGCTAACTCAAGTTTCCTGTCAGTTTTCAAGATGACAAGTTACAGTGAAGTGTTTTCAAAGACCACCGTCATGTTTTGGATTGCTTTTTCTCTTTCTTGTGGCAGATCTGACAGTATGGAGGAGTGTCAAATCTGGAAAAGACTTGGTGGTGCTGTGGCACTGTGATGCTCCTGCTTCAGTGGTAGGATTCTCACTACCCTGTGGGTATTATTTGCCTTAAAAATTGGTGGAAAGAGCAGAAGGTGGAATAAGCATACCCATGACAGTTCAGGCCCTCCCAGCACAGTCTGCTGCCTGTCTGCTGGAGCTGGGGGCTGAAGCCTGCTCTGTGTCTGGGGCTGGATGCTTTCCTTTTGCTTTCTTTAGACTTTTGGTAAATGCAGGTGACTATTAGGAAAATTGCAAAGATAGTTTATTAAATTCTGGCCACGGCCCAGCTGGTGACAGTGATAGGGACCAGAGTTTTTACAGAAGAGCATTAGGGACCCTGTGGTTACCTGAGACCTTGGGGGATTCACTTTCTCAGGAAGCTTGGCCTTATCCTTCAGTTGTTAGATCTGGTTTATGACCTGAGATACGAGGACATGTGTCTCTTCCAAAAGGCATTTAATGGGTTTTCATATTTGCAACCTTAAATCTTACTCCAGACGTTCGCATAGATTACTTTGTTTTCTGGAGGACAAAGCTACTCGAGGCACAACTCCTCATGGAGCAACAGGCTTTTAGTTAAGTAACTTCTGGGCTGAGTCACTGATCTTTCCTCATAAATCTCTATTCTTAGTCAAGACTGGAGAACTGCTTTTCCCCTCTGCTCGTGATGTTTGTTGCAGCTCCAGTGGGTCAGCAGGAGGACTTGGTAATGGCAGAAGCATCCCCCTGCCTGGGGGAGCCCCAGGTGGCAGGGTTGTCCCATTGAGGCGGCACTGGTACACCAGTGTACCTGTGATGTGCAGTGGAAGGGAGACTGCAGCAAGCCTGCAAGATCCACTGTTGCACAGACTGATCTTCTAGGGCTCTGTTCTGGTCTGGCATGGGAGAGGGATGCTGAGTACCTTTGTAACTGCATTTCTCACCCACATGCGTGTCAAACAGCATCTGGATAGGCAGGGAAGGAAGGGGGTCTTCTCTGGGCACACATCTGCAGAGTCATCAACTGGGTAGTTATATTGAGGCCCACACCTTGCCAGCATCCCCGTTGTAAGTACAATCTGAGTGACTGGCTTTGCCAAGAGCAGGACTGCTGGGAGAGTATGTTTGAAGTTTAGACCTGTACTACAGGTTTGCAAAGCAAGAGCCTCTGCTTTGGAGTGCTATGAGAAAGCGTCTCTGTTGCTTGCAGAAAAGAAAAGGAGGAAAAATAATAATCATTCCAGTGTTAATGAGAGAAAAACCAGTGCATTTATCTTTAAATGCAGAACAGCTGATTGCAAAATATCTCTGCTTGTTCTTAAATGAAGAGAGTAAATCATCCTGAAATTAAAATCAAGTCTGTGTATAAGAAGTTATTTAAGACAGATGGAACCCCTCTGTCCCAGCAACCCTCCCTTGTTCTCTGGGCTGTTGCAGCCAATGGCACTGTCATCTCTGCCTGCTCCTGCTGTGTTCAGGTTTACAAGGATGTGCATGGCTGTGCAAGTGGTGCATGCTCCCAGCCTGGAGAGAAGGGACAGCATACACTGGTGTGGATGGAGCAGAGGGGCTGTCTCTGGGGTAACCACCAGAGATGCTGTCAGTCTGTGTCTGTGCTATCAGATGACTGATGTCAGCTCATACTGGGGGTGATGAGTGTCCAACTCTCATGGCTCCGTGTGGTTGGTGGGATGAGTGCAGGCCATTCAGGATTGCTTGGCTTTGCTGTAGCAGTGACGTGGTGTGGTCCTTCTCCTAGATCATGGGGACAGCAGTGATGAGGGGCCAGGTTTAGCTACATTCCTTGGAATTAGGACAAGATGAGCGAGTAGCTTGTTCTCCTGCTAGGCAGAAGCCGACTCATGAATAGCCACTGCATGACCGTTTCCCTTTTTGTTAATGCTAACAGCTTAAAATAAACTGTGCTAGACTCTGCATATACAGTTAACAGAAAATTGGTTTCTGCCCCGAAGGGTTTATTTTGTGAACCAGGAGGCAGGCCCATGCCATTTCAGCAAAATCACTGTGCTATGACTGTGGGGTGAGTTTTTGACTGTGACTTAAAAGCTTACCCTCAGCTGAGCCCTGCGGCAGGGAGGTGGTCATAGACACTCTTCTAGGGTGCTTATTATGTGCACAGTGATCCGGGAGGGCCACAGGCACCAGGGGCACCCTGTCTGGTCTTACGGGTGGGGGATCATTCACTCTCATGTCCCTTCCAGTGCCAGAGGTGGTGGCTGCTGCTGAAGAGCTGATGGGAAACAGCATGGCTGCCTCAGTGAGCAAGGCTGGAAGCTGGTTCTTCAATCTGCTCCCCTCCCATGGGTGCCCGTGGGTGCCTGGGGAGACAAAGCGGGGTGGGGGACAAGCTCACATGTCAGTAGGCTGCCCAGAGCTTGGGGGAAAAAAGAGGATGGGGCTGGTGGATGTTCCTTCTTTTGAGAGGGGAATTCAGATAGAGCTGTGCCTGACCCTGGAGTGTCCTTGTGGGGCTCGGGCAGTGACTGTGCTGCCTTCCCTTACTAAAGCTGTTCAAGGGAGAGGCTTGACCTTTTAAAGGACTTTGAGCTATTATTGTAGCAAAAATGCTGTAGTTCAGGGAGGTGAGATAGGGATAGGAGCAGGAGCCGCAGGGTGAGGGTAGAGCAGGAGGGTTGTGTGAATGCTCCCCAGGCAGTACTGCTCGCAACAGCCTGATGGCCTTGGCCAGGTACTGCGTTGGTCCCTGTGGGCTGAGCCTTTCTGGTACACTCAAGCCCAGCCATTCTGTACTCGTGGTGGTTTTGATAGGGTCTGGAGCATCCCAGTGTCAGAAGCTGTTCACAAGGCAGGAATCCCGCAGTGCATCTGTGGGGGAAAGGAAAGCAAAATCACCTTACAGCTCCCCATGCCTATGCCTTTGGAAGTAGGATGTCCATTCTTGTTTGTTAAATACGCATAAAGAGGTTGAGTGGAGAGAGTATGGTCTCAGCACTCGTTTCCTGCGGCATAAAAATAACTCCAAGTAACCCACTTTCAGCTGAAGTTGTTTATTACTCATCCTCCTCAATGAACTGTTGAAAGGAAGAATGGTGCTTGTGTTCTCTGGGGTTTGGTGTCATCACTGCTTCTGAGGCTTCTCTAAGTGTCCTTAACTCTGGTAATGAGCAAGGGTAGGGGGGTAAGAAGAGATGCTGATGAGAATGGTGTTAAAAGGATTTAGCAAGGTATCACGTGCTGCAGGTAATGAACTCTTATGTCTGCAGTCTTAACAGCTAAGGCCCTGGAGGTGGTGTAATGATCAGCTTTTAATGGGGATGATTCCGAGAATTGCAAAAGTATATTTTTGCAGCCCTTTGGTGTAGCCTTGTGTGCACACAGTGTGCGAAGGGCTTCATTGCACACTGAGCTTCGTACCGGCTTCCCTGCCACCCTGTGCTGAGAGGCTGCAGGAAGGCTTCTTGTGGTGCTGGTGAAGGAGTGGTGGGACCTCCTCTGGGCTCGCTCTTTCCACCAGTGCAGGAAACCTCGCTGCTTTGGAGGTCCGTGGGGAAGCAACAGACAGTGCCAGTGAGGCCTGTGGTGCTGGGTTGCTAAAAAATTGCCACTTTTTCTGATTCCAGTGTCTTCAGAAGGTGTGGAATTGTATGTGGGAGGTGGGGAGTTGTTAAATCAGTGCACCAAAATAGGTGCATCTCTTGTCAAAGTTCTCACATCAAGCGGTTAGATTCAACCTAATCTTCTTAATTGATCTCTGATGACTCTGAAACGTTACTCCTATGAGAATACAGAAAGCAGACTCTTGCAGGATGATGAATAAACGTTAAGTTGGGTATAGACTGATTTCCAGTCACTTTGCAGGCATTGGCAGAGTCTGTGACATGCACAGCTCTGTTAATTACTGAGATTGGTTTAGTTTGGACCGGCATGAAGACCAAATATTGAATGAATCAAATGTCAAATAAATCCTCATCCAGTTTAGACTTGACAAGAAAACAAATGATAATGAGTCAGGAAGGAAAATTCATTCCTGACACATCTAGCAAATGAGGCAGAAAAGAAACCCAAAACAACCCAAGCTGAAATATGGAACTCTAAGGACTACTCTCTAAACAAGAGGAAAGGTGCGTCTGAGAAACCCGTTAGTCTGACAATAGGTAACTTATGCCTTTTCTGCAAGCCCCCTCAACCTGCTGCAGTGCAAGGTCTCCTTTACAGGGAATGGCTGGTCTCAGTTTCTTCCCGGACAGGGAACATGGTGACTTGGTGACAGCCTGGCATCAGACGCACAGTGGCAGAGCTTGTGGAGCAACAGTTTATAAATCAGTTTCCCAACCCCGGTGTCTGTAAACTGCAGACAGCAAACCTGATTAGTACTAATGGGTGGTACTGCAAATAATTCAGCCTCCAAAAGCACAGTAAAGAGAGTTATGGTTGTAGAGAGAAGGCCACTGGCCGGGGTCTGCGTTCAACAAACTGTAAGTGCGTGCCAGCTGGAGGGTCAAACTCTGTTTTGGAAATGTTCTAGGCAAAAAACAGATCTTTACAGCAAAAAGCCAAGCAATAGATGTATGGCAGTTAAAAAATGAGAACTGAACTTTCCATATTTCATTCTTTTTAACTGCTGTTTATTGCCTACCTCTGCTGTGCTGCACAGAGCAGGGTGATTTACCTCCTAGGAGGTCATGGTCTAGAAGCCTGTAAGGTGTGTGGGCAGAGGAGCCATGCACCTGGCAGCGGGAGGGCAGGTAGGGATGGGCACTGAAGTGTGGTGGAACAGTAGTGACTGTGTTTCGGGCAGCCAGCTCTCATACAAAGCGTGTGTGTCTGGCCATGAACCACTCCTGTAGCAGCAGAGGTAGAACTGTGATGTTTTCCCAAGAAGATGCCAACTTCTGGCATAAGTACTCCACTTGGGGAGGAGGGGGGGTTAAACCTGGAACCAGCACTGATACGGTTCTTCCCTTCCCTTTCCCCTTCCTTTTCACCTTCCCCACTCTCCTCCAGTGGTGCTGAGAAAGCATGAGTTCATTTACTCCTGTGAACTTGCTCTGATCGGTACCCACCCCCATCAGCTGTTTCCTCTGGTGTCTGTAGGTAAACAGAAATACCTTTGTGCCAGCCGGAACGACTGCACCATCGACAAGTTCAGGAGGAAAAACTGCCCGTCCTGCCGCCTGCGGAAGTGCTATGAAGCTGGGATGACTCTTGGAGGTAACACTTGAATAACGTCCCCTGGGTCCTTGCAGTGGGAGATACCCTGAAGATAAAGAGTGTACTTGGCAAACTAAATAGGCAGGAGATGGCTGAGAAGCTGAGGCTGGTGGAGCATAATGAGCTTTGGGAAACGTTTGCAGGTTTCTAATAGCAGAATGTGAATTCCATTAATGTCTGTTTGTTTCAGAAAACATTCTTTTCCTTAATTTGAAGATGTGTTAATTTGAAAAAATGGAAACAGTGGGTAAGCTGGATTCTCACACACACCAAAGCCCTTTTGAACAGAGCATTCCTAAGTTAAAATTATTTTTCCCAGGCAGAAAGGGGCGTTTTTCTTCATAAAATTACTTTATAAAATTCTTTATAAAATTACTGCCCCAGTATTTTTCTTTGCTGAATAGAAGTTGCTTCTGTATCACTGGTAAAGATACTCGTTACAGTCTGTTCCAAAACCGATAGCTCTACCAAAACCTGACACTGCCTGTATCTAAAATCTGGAAGCTACAACGTAGATCACTGGGTGGCTCATCTTTGAGTTCATTTGATGTGAGAGTGAGGAAGAAAATTAAAAGATGGGGCTGATGAACCTTACCCACGATGGAGAGGCCCCTGACAGTGAAGTGGAGGGGGAGTCATGGGTGATGCACAAAGGAAAGCTGGTGGCAGCGTCAGGCACAGTGCAGAGTGAGGCAGGGGGGAGCCCTCCCTAGTCAGATGTGCCAAAGTTTTAGTTTAAATACTTCCGCCATTGCTGGGATGGGCAGTGCCTCCCGGAGCTTCGGGAATGTCTTGGAGCTTGCTACCAAAATGGCTCTGGTTTATTGCTCTTTGAGTGGTTTTAGTTTTATTTCTCCCTGAGCAGTTCTATAGCTCAAACACGTCCAGTTGGCAGGGCAGGAGCCAGCTTCTCCCCTCTGCTTTTGAAGCACTGGGTAGTAAACCTAAGCCGTGGGGGCACAGCTCCTGGGGGAGCAATGCAGGACATCTGGCTCCTTTCCTCCTGGTAGCAAGCAGAAAAAAACAAACGTTTCCAAAGATAATGCAGTCCTCAGACCTCGTGATGTCACCCGGAGTGCTGGCTCTGACCGCTCTTTGTTTATGCTTCCTCTCCACCGTGGGCGAGCCGTCAGGTCGGAGCGATGTGTACTGGCACATGCAGAGGCGCACCAGGATTTCTGAGCATCAGGGAGGTGCCCGGTGGACCTGATGCAACCAGGCAGGCAGTTTGCTTGCTGGAGTTACCGGGTAGCTGTCTGTGTCCCTGTTCCCCAGCTCTGCCCCAACCCCGGTCACCCATCCCAGATAGGTAGCCATGCCTACCCGCATGCCTGCTTGCAGGAGGTCCTGATGACAGTAATTTTCATGGCTGCTGCTGGCCATTCGTAGCCATGGCTTCCCAGGGAAGCAGGGAGGCTCCTGTGGGACCCTTCCCCTGTTGCCTGGGAGGGTTGGGACCAGGACACCAACACCACTCTGCTGTGGGGTTTCTGGGTTCCTGAGTGGGGTACAGCGATGAAGAGCCAAACCCAGCACCTCAGTCCACAGCCCACAGGAGGGCTTTATAATGCCATCCAAAACAAGCTCCTGTTTTTATGTGCTTTATTCTGGTGAATTTTCCTTAAGAGAAGACATACATCAGTGTAACATTTCTCTGGAGGACATGCTGACAAAATTAATGCTAATACTGCTAGCCCCCCCCTCCCTTTTTTTCTTAAGCTCTTTGGGTCACCCTGACCTGTTCTGCCTGGTCTGTTTTACATTTGTTTTGAATGTCGGTTTAAAGGCAGTTGTTAAAAACATGCACGCTATGAGTTTGTCCACAGTTATTTCTTCCACCGTAGAAGTGCAGAGCATTTGAAACCTCTTCCAAGCTCCACAGAGTTGTTTTTAACTGCCTGTTACTTACCAGTCTCTGGTAAGGTAGAACAGAGCCCCTGTGACCAAGCGGACCTGCAGCTCTCAGTATGTTTAATGAGAGGAGGAGGTGACACGCTGAATACCTTATTTAGGACTCTCTGCTTTGGCACAGAATGGCAGTATGTCGAAGCACTTCATTATTGAGATCACTCTGACCTGCAAACTGAAATCCATTAAACAGAATCTTCTCTCCCAATCTACGCTGTAAAGCCCAAGAGGAGGAGAAATGAAAAATAAGAAAGAGTGATAATGCAGGTTTCATGTGCAGCATTGACATCGGTTCTGCTGGTGCACCATCCTAACTCTCGCACAGCACCAGCTCATGCTGCGAGTGCAGGTGGCTGCACAGATCCTGCACAGGTATCTGGATCCCTTTGTCCTGCTTTAGTCAGGACCCTGCCACCACTCGGCCAGCACAGCTCCTGCTGAACTGAGTTTAAGGCCCCTCCTGTTTGCTGCCAGTGCATTTTAGTTGTGGCATGCAATGTCCCATGGGCCATTCCCGCTGTGAGAACCCAGCACCTCTGCCCTCAGCCTAGCAGTTGTGCTCCATGGTGGTCCTGTCTAGGGGCAAAACCTCCCAAACATGCACAATTCAGTTTGTTTTGTTAATGGTAGGGCTAGAAAACTACTGTCGTAACTGCCGATATCTTGCAAAAACCTATGTCTTCAGGTACACCTGTATTTAGTCCTAATTCAGGTCCAGTTGCCGTGGTTAAAGTAGGGATCATGTCCTATAAAAGCGTTTGATACTCATGTAAGCATTTCCAGCAGTGGAGAATCTAACACATTTTTTGCCATGCAGTTGCAACAGTTCATTCGCTTCAGTGTTGCAATAGATGTACTGCATTTTTCATCATGTCTGTTCCTGATTTCCAGCAACTGGATCTTTATTACAGCTTTGCTAGATTGAAAGCATACTTCTATTGAATTTCTGTCTCCGCAGTGGGTTTTGCTGCCTGTGACTTAATAACCCTTTAAGCCTTCTGCATAGACACCTGGGTGAAATTCTTCCTTTCTCTGGGGTGTGTTGTCTAGTCTTTACTATTCTTACGGCTTCTGCAGTTTGCCAACACCTCCCTCGTACGGTGAACATCTAATCGCAGTTTCATGATGTAGGCAGCATCACTGCTTAAAGGCAGTGGTAGGATGCTCTCCAGGCCAGTGCTTCCCTCCTTCACATGGCTTGGGATCCTGCTAATCCTGTGCTCACTGAACTGTCCTGGCCAGCTCAGGCCTCTGAGTTTGTCCATCAGCTTTTGGTGTGAGTTCATGCTGCGAGGATGGAGTTTGGCATTCATTGAAAATGGCTTGCTTTTTCAGTTGCTTGATGTATCTTCTTACAGTGAAATGAACATTGCTTTGATAGATAGAGCTTATCAGCAGACGTTGTTCAGTGATCAGTCCTTAATGTTCATTATTGTTTGCCCATCTATGTATTGTCATACAGACTATTTTAGTAGAAATGGCTGGTTGTCTTTTTTGGAGTGAAGGTAGACATTCACTAGCAAAGAGCTGTGAACAACCCTCATAAGAAACAAACCTGTCTGATGTTGTTCCAGCATTTATCATTACTTTTTGAGATGTATCATCCGGGTGATTTGAAATCATTCAGCAGCACTGGCTGATTTTATATCGTTCGAGTATTTTTTTAAACTCATGTGGGTCAGACTGAGTCAGCTCTCTTAAACATGTCTGCTGTGCTAGCGCTATTGTAATTAACAGCTAAAATTATCATGCTGGAGAAGACTGATAGCTTGACAGGATCTGTTTTTGGCAAGCCACATGTGGATGTTAGGAAATTGAAAGAACGGGATACAAGTCAAGTCCTGTTTCAGCTTCTCTGCCGAGAGCTTCTCGCCTGCAGCTGACGCCAGCATGCGGTGCGTGGGGCTGGCAGGATTCCCTGTCATTGCTGGTGCAGAAGCACTGTTCCTCCAGGTCCATAGAACTTTCACAAGTCCTGGCAGTCATGGAAAATCCATGCTGGAGCCCAGCATGCTCCTTCACCAGGGCTTCAGGAGCGCCCGGCAGGAGGGCCGGCAGGCAGGCTTCACTTGCTTAAAGCATGTGTCACTTTGATCATTGCTCTCTAGTGTGCTCCCTGCGGATTCTTGCACTGATGAATATTTTGTCATGATCCTCTATAATTATATGCATCCTTCCAGCTTTTTTTGAAGTATGTCGGGTGTTTTCTTGGCTAACCCTGTGCCTTGCTGCAGGCATGACTTGGTGGTGCTGTGCCAGCAGCTGCATGTCAAGGCTTCCCTCTTACACGTTAACAGCTAAGAGGGACACTGCGTGTTTGCTGTCACTTGTGCTTTGTCACCCCACCATGCTTCGGGGAAGTACAATGTAGGCTTCTGCCTAGCTTAGCTCATCCTGGAATAAAAGTATAACAGATGTATTTCATTTCTTTATTCCTATTTTTATTCCCAGTAGCTGCTGAGTAGGAGCTACTATCAATAAGGGGTTTTGCAGAGGTGACTGAGTATAAGCTACTCTTCACCTTAGAAGCTTTTCTCCATCTAGTAACATCAGTGTTTCAGTGATCTATAGAACAACCACTCCTGGCAAGCACAAACATCAGGCTTGTCTGGTAAGAGCAGTTACCAGTGCTTTCTCACATGGAGGGGTTTGGTTTAAGGCTGCAGTCTCAGAGCCAGCATAGTTGGTTGCTTGCTCTCTTCTTACTTCATACAGTATCTCTTAGGACTAGGTAATTCAGTTTTAAGGGGAAAAAAAATAACATTTAAACCAAACCATGTGTGTGTTTATACAGTGTGGGTTTGGCTCCATTTACACACAGGACCTGATGGGTAGTGTTTATTCATCTTTGGAAGACACCATTTGGTTTTTATTTCTTCTTTCAAGCCGAGATCTTTTCTTCCTAGCAGCACTCCTGTCTCTAAAGGTCCAGCGCCAAGCCTGACCATGAGACATGGTTTCTGCCTCAGGTGGAGTCAGCCCCGGTGCCTCCTTCCCGAATTAACGTGTGGTGCTTTGGAAGCGAGTGGTCAGTGTTCTGTGCTCCCCTCCTCCGTGCTGCTTGTCAAAACCAAAACCCAAGTGCAGCTCCTGGGGGAGCAGTGCTGTACCTGTCCTGGGGATCAGCTCTCCGGGGCTCAGGGAGGGGAGCACTGGGGTTCTGCCTCATGCTGGTGCTGCCTGTGACTTCTGGAGGGATGGGACGTGAGGCTCTGGCTGGCCTAACAGCCAAGCAGAGCATGGCTGGAGGCTGTCACACTGCACTGCAGCCCTACTTTCCCGTTTCTCTCTTTAATTGCTCTTTTCTGCAGAGCAGCCTATCTTAATTGCTTGTATAGTAGATCATCTGAAGTACCTTACTTAAAGATCACCTTTTGAATTGATTTACAAAGCTGCACTGTAAGTAGACATATTGATGTTTCGCTGCTTATTATTGTAATTACAGCTGTAAGGAAACAAGATAAGTGTCATGTAATGGAGCCAAAACCCCAAAACCAGTTGGTTTGATGTTATATTCTCTGCTTGAATTAAACAATTGTCTTTTTTTCTTTAATTAATTCGGGGTTTTGGAGTTAGTAAAGGGTGAGAGCAGTTCCTGTCTGCAGTAACCTGCCAGCCTGTGCTGTGCTGAACACTGTCATGCAGATGTCAAATTAGGTGAACACAGAATCTCAAGTCACGCGTCTGAAGCTCCTTGTATATCTTACTAGCAGATGAGCATCTGCAATTAAGAGCTGAGTGCACAGGAGGGACACTTTGTCATGGTGACATGAGTACAGTCGCTGACTGCCTTCAGTTCCAACCCCACAAACCTGCTCTACTGGTGTTGCTCTTGAACCTAACCAGCAGACCAAGGCTGCCCCTGCTTGAGTCTCCTTGCTTGTGGGCTATGGGGAGACTCCAGGGAAAGAGCCATGTAGCTGTCTGCTCCTTTTAAAATGTATTTTGCATAATGTATTTGTAGAGTAGTGACCCGGCTGGGAGAGCTTGGTTATGAGGCAGCAGGCATTGCAGGAGCCCCAGGCAAGGAGAAGGGTTTTATCTTGGTTGCATCACTTCCATTCTGCCCTGGAGTGGAACGATCCCACTTGAGCATCTGAGTGCAACGGCTTTTTTCCCTGAAATGTGACCATCTACTGAGTTAATTTGCTTGCATTGCTTCCCTTTTTAATTGCATGTGAGTAGTTGTTTTATTTGAGTCACCTCTTCTCTCTTTTCCTTGGTTCTTTCTCTGCATTTCTAAGTAGGATTTAATGTGATACCAGCCACAGCTGAGAATGTAAATGATGCTTATTATTTTTTTATGTTAGATTAATGGGTTTCCTTGTCCCTTTTGCCCCTGTGTGAGGTCTGCAATGGTGGGACACTCTTTGGGTGGCATGCACTGAAGGAGCAGCTGCTGGTCGTCAGTTTTCCGTTCCTCATGAATATAAATGTTGGAGCCAGAAGCCAAGAAACCTCAAGCTTCTTTTTTAATTTTAAGCCTCACACTGAAATGTGTCACTCCCACAGCCCGCAAGCTGAAGAAGATGGGCAACCTGAAGACACAAGATGAAGTGGAGGCAGCCAGCTCATCCAGCCCCACAGAAGAGCAAGCTCCCAAGATGGTGATGACGCGCATTGATGGGTATGAGTGCCAGCCCATCTTCCTCAACGTCCTGGAGGCCATTGAGCCTGGTGTGGTGTGTGCTGGCCATGACAACAGCCAGCCGGACTCCTTTTCCAACCTGCTGACCAGCCTGAATGAGCTTGGGGAGAGGCAGCTGATCTATGTGGTCAAATGGGCAAAGGCTTTGCCAGGTAAGGAGGAAAACAAAGAACTCCACCCCCTTCCCTGGTATGTTTCTAAAGCTTCCTGCATGCATCACTGGGGTGGATTCAAAGGAGGTGGTCTGCAGCCCGCATCCCTCCATCCCATCACACAGTTCAGATCCTTGGGGAGCATCTTCATGGGGCTCCTGCCTGGGCAATATGCCCGTGCAGCAGGCAGCGGTAGCATGAGGTTTGTCTCCTTTGGGTGGTTGGTTGATGGGAGAGGTGACTAAGGAGTGACAAAGCATGCCAAAACTTACGCTTTGGTTCTGATAACCCCGGCACACGGTACCATGTAGGCATGCAGCTCTTCCCCATGCAGAGGTTTTACTCCACTTCCAGGGCTGTGTTCTCCAGACCTGCAGAGGTTTTCTCTAAGCCAGTCCCATAACCCTCACGAAGTGATGAAAAGGGTAAATTCTCCAGGTGAATCACCAGTGTGCCACTTCATGATTGGAAAGTGAGATGGGGGAATCTGGGCTGAAAAGAGCTGAGGTTGGAGATGTGGGAGAAATCCTTCGTCACTGTTTTTGTATATCACAAGCCAGTTAACTGTATAGTAGCAAAAGAGATACAAACAAAATCCCAAAGGACTTTTTCCTGGCAGGCAGATTGCTCTTGTGTGACAGGCTGCACAGATGTATTTATGACACCTTGATTGTCGTGATACGGGAGGAGTACGTAAGGGTCGGGAGTTGGCCGAATGGTAATAGTGAGCAGGTGCTGTGAACAGAAACATCCTGGTGACACACGGGTTTCATTGAGGGTGTTCTTTGGTTCTGAGCATAGAGGTTGCCAGTCTGTTTGGCTGCAAGTCGGAATCCTGCCAACTGAGTGAAATTGCAGAAGCCTGCACTCTGGGTGCAGTGGCATCCAGTTCACCTCCCAGCATCCCTGAGACTGGGGCTTGGGAACGATCCTGAGCTGCCTTCCTCACCCTGGCCCCATTCCTCAGGAAATGCCACAGAAAAGAGGGAACCTACTATTTTTTGAGGTGATAGGACCAAAGCAGGAAACTGAGACAAAATAAGTTTGCCAAAACCTGGTGATGAACCTAGTTAGACATTTAACATTCCCAAAAATTTCGCAGTCCCCCTGGAAGTAGTTGGTCCAGGAGGGGTGTTCGACTGAATATGCATAAATGCAGAGTAGCTCATTCTGTTTCTTATGTTCTTGAGTCAGAAAAGGTTCACCTAGCTTGTGAAACCAGGAACAAATCATGCTTTCTCTTCCAGCATATCCACATCAGACATCAAGATTCCTCCAGGAAAGTACACAGAGACACCATCAAACCTGACTGGCAATCGGTTGTAAAACTGCAGGAGTGCTGACAGAAAGGGAGACTGCTTTGAAAAACATTTTTCAGTGTAATCACCTCCTTATCAAAAGCTTTTGTTGTCCTGTTACTACACCTGCTCTCCGGCCCCATGGTGCACAGTGCTGCCAGCTCCTGCACTGCTGCCTCCCAGGGCTGGTGCCCGCTGTGCCAGTGACAGCATCTGGGCAAGATTATTTCTAATCTTCTTACATCTGAGCAGTTACAGCTAAACCCCTACACCCTCCTCAGGACATGGATGCCTTCTGGAGCTATAGTGGAACGCTGCCAGCTGCAAAGCTGGTGCTGGCCCATCATCAGCATCACTGTGCCTGGAGCAAGCGTGAAGCCACTTTGTTTTCTGCACCTTTCCCCAGTAGTTCCCTTGTGTGTGCCAGCACTGCAGTTGAACAGTAATAACCACAAATTTGCCACTTAGTCATTCTGCTGGTGGTTTCTAGGGAAGGAAGAAGCAACTGCAGCACTATTGCTGTTGTGGAGCTCCAGGTGGGTGGTGGCCATGCAGCCCCTTTGCTTGGACAGGTTCTGGATCCCAGTGTGGGCAGCCTTGCCCACCACTGCCCCTCCTGCACACACTGTGTCTGCCTCGCTTTTTGAATAGACTTGCAGTATCCCCGTAGCCAGAGGTGGTTTGCTGTCTATAATTTATTTAAATTACATTTTGGTTAATAAAGCAGAAGTGTTTTCGTTTCCCAGGTCTGCAGGTTGGCTGGGCAGCCCTGCGTTTGGTGAGCTCAGGTGATGTGGGTGAATGCAGGTAGGGGGAGAAATGGAAACAAAACCAAAGCAATTTAAAACAGTGGGATGTGGTTGTTTTTATCAAAGCAGAAAGATGTTGACCCAGTTTCATGGAAAGCTAGAGGCTGTTTCATGAATGCTGTTGCTGGTGAGGTGCAATGGGAGCAGAGTAGAGGGCTTGACCTGCTGCACAGCAGCACAGCCCGGCTTGCCCAGGAGGAGGAACAGTGCCCGGGGCCAGCAGCCGAAGCAACACATCTTGGCCAGCCACTGCCCCTGCCAAACACAGCTGCATCCTCTGCCTGCTGGAAGTGCTACGTGGTCCTCAGCAAGGGGGAAAATGCCATCTACTCTTCCCCTTTCCCGATTAATGAAGCACATCTAGCACAAGTGTTGGCTTAAAGATGAACAAGCTCCCCTGTCAGTTAGGATGCATATCAATGTAAAGGGGAGAAGGCTTTTGCTTTCCGATGACTGCTCCTGGTGGGAGAAAGGGGAACTTGCGCCTGTAATGGAGGTAGCCTCAGCCTGATAACGCTGGCAGTAGAATACTATTGGTTAATAGGTGATTATTAATCTTGCATCCAGCGTTGGAAATCATCTGCATAGCAAGAGTGATTAATATTCAGCAAGGTGTTACTGCACTTCTTCCAGCGAGGTTTCAGTGATGGCCTAGAAACAAGGCTGCATCAGGTAGGAGCATTTCTGCATCCTGCTTGCCTGCAGTAGCAATACCAGCCTCTGTCTGGTGGAGAAAATGTAGTGTATGGCCCTTTGGACCCTTTGCAATTGAAATTCTGCACAGGAGAAGGTAGAATGAAACTGTGGTTTTGCTGGAAAGATTAAATAACCACTGCTTGTCAAGGAAGCTGTTGGAACACGGAATTAAAAAATCTCGTTAAATCCATAAAATCCCTCCACTTCAAGGTAAGTGGACGGAGCGCATGTTTTCCCTGTTCCATACGCATAGATTCAGTGAAGGCCTCACAGCTAATTTAGATCAGCACTCAAACGCATTAGTTTAAGGGTCATTCTAACTGGCAGCGAATGAGAAGTCTTCAGTTTGTTCCCGAAGCTGTTAGGAGCAGAGTCTATCAAAAATAGCTGGACCGCATGTGTGGGAAAAGGCTGCGGCTCCGCTGCCAGCACCGCAGTTGAACGCCCTCTGTGGTTCTAGCGGCTCGGTGCGCAAGTGATCAGGTGAAATACTCCATGGGAGATGGACCTCTACTAAAGCTATCGCCAAATCTCTGTGTACTTGGCATTAGTGCTTTAGGGGTGTTCCAGGCCATCGCTTGCTTTTCTGTTTCGAATATACAGCCTTACAGTATAGCTAAATCACCTCTAACTATAAGGATACAGTTAATTGTGCATCTTTTTTCATTCTCCAGATAATAAGACTTCCAGATACACAATGAGTATGTTTTTATATTGGAAATGCAATTTGTGGTAACGTGTGCTCAGCTGCTGATCTCTGAGGAAGATAATTAATCTGGCACAGCACCGCATCAAGAGAGAATATAAAGAATTTCTTTCCAAACTCTGCTGCTTTGTGATTATTCACAGCAAAATGGCATTGATCTTTTTCAAGTTGTCAGTAAATCTGATTTTACTTTTACTATAATTTCTTTCTGTAGAAAGAAATCTTCATTTGGGTCTCTTCAAAACATGCCAATACTAAGAAATTTAACAGTATATTATGGCATTAAGTTTGTATTTATTTTCTTTCACAGTGGTTCTGTATTTATTTTCTTTCACAGTGATTCTGACAGTACATCATTTAAGATGTCTGGATGGGGGAGGTTTTTAGAGACAGTTTTGTTTAAGGGCATTTAGCTCAGAAACTGGAAGCAATGATTCCTTTTAAAAAACTCAGCCAGTGTGTTTCTAGAACTTGTTTTTTGTGGACAAGCAGAAAGCATTTTTAAGTCCTCTGACAACAAAACTGTTCTGTTCAAATACTTTTCCTTAAACACTGGTGAAGCTTGCACAGGTATTTTATTTTAAGTGAACATAATTACAAGGTAATGAACAAAAGCACCAAAATCCTTCTCATAGCAAAGATTAGAGCAACAAATAGTTACCCCAGCTGTGGTACAAAGCTGATACTCAGTGGTGGAGGGGAAGCCAGCCCCAGGTGAGACTGGCTGCCTGCAGAGGTAGCTTTGAGGCTGGTTTGCATGGGCATGGCAAGCAGGATGAGGAAGTTCTGCCATTGATGCTGGTGTTCCCAACAGCTTTCTCCTGTTGATGCTAAACCCAGCTAAAGAGGGGTGGATCATTCGTGTGAATTAGGGCTAAATTTACATAGTTTGCTGTTCATGGTATGTTTTCTGTCTCCAAGTCACTTGCAGGTTACAAGTTTTGTCTTTGGTGGTAAGACTTATGGGCTTTGCTCCCAAAACATAGGCACAAGAGAAGCCAAACATCAGAGACCTTTGGTTTGTCTTCTTTCTCACCTCACCCTTTCCATCATGCCTTGGCTTGCAGTTCTGGCCCTACAGCACCTCTTGGGCCCAGCAGAACTTCCCAAAAGAACTTCCTAAGTTGGGAAAGGGTATTACTTCCCAGCCTTATGGATCTGAGGGGGATGAGTGTGTAGCAGACAAGGTTCACCCTCATTATGTGGATACCAGTGTGGGAGTGTTCCCTACACCATCTTACTTTCTTCAGAGTCTCAGCCACAGGGGCCATCACATGGCTCCTCTTCAAGTAACTCACATGTTTCCAATCTTTTCAGAAAGTCTGGGCAGGGAAAGAGAATGGTGGCAATTACGGAGCAGGAGGAAATTCAAGGAAGTGCTTAGGATTTACTAGGCAGTGAATTAATCTCTGACCAAATTTACTGGATAAATAGGAAGGTTTTTTAATAGCATGGAGTACTGTAGTTAGCTGTGAAAATCTAACTTAGATACATCCTAGAGATGAGTACGACTGATTTTATGAAGTCCTGGAGTTGCCCAGTTGCCTTGTCTGTACTCGTGTGCTCTGAATGAGTTTCTCTCTGGCTGCCAGAAGGTTCCTGTTCAGCTGGCAGCTGAGCACCCCTCTGGTGGAAATCACCCGTTCAGATTCGGTGGCATGCTTCTGGGGCACAAACTTCAGGTTTTTAATCCAGTGGTACGCGATCTAGAGCAAAACTGCACAAATGTAAGGCAAGTTTAGTCAGCAGTAAAACACGACTTGTGCTCATTTACAGTTGACAGCTTCCCAAGCAAGAGTGGATTGCCTCAGTGAGTTACTATTACACATTGGAGGTGTTGGAATTGCTTTAAAGTTTCACTGAAGTAACGAATGATCTTCTTGAAACCAGATCACATTTGCCTACTTACAAGTATCTGGAAAAAAGTACGGTGTTGGAGGTGTTTGTGTGTGTGTTGCAAACACGCCTGGGATTTAGCTGTGAACTGCCATCTGGGAATGCTAATTTGAATTTAATTGATAGTTTTGTTCAGCTTGTGATTCAGCAGAAGTTTTCATATTCATTAGATAAATGCATTGTGTATTTGACAGAGAAATGGAAGCAGCCCGTTAACCATGAGATGAAGCTTCGTGATCACTTGCTGTCTCTGAACATTACACAATGTAATATATTACAATCTATTCGCTTAAATTTGATGAAGTCCTAATCGATTGGAAGGGGTTTGGCTTATCTCCTGGAGTGCCAGAATTGCACCAGGGGAGGCAATTGGTTAATGATGGCTTCTCAGCACCTGGAGAATGTGATCTGGTTAGTTATATTGTTGCTGGGGCTCCCACTCCCCCCCAGCTGATTTATTTCTGTTAGCAGAACAAAGCCAACAAATCCTCTTCAGCTGTTGCTTTCACTTACTTTTGACATACTGTCTCACTTGGTGACTGTGAATGTTTTGGAGCAGACGTTGGGAGTTAACGCTGTGACTGCAGAGCATGTGGCACAGTACGTTCCAGTGGGTCTGGGTGTCTAATTAGTGCCAGAAACAAGGGCTGTTGCAGGGCAAGTGCTGAGGTTTGGTTGTGTTCCAGAAGGGACTTTAGGAAGTCACTGAATCCCATCCTGCTGTGTCTTTGTCCAGTCTGTTGCAGAATGGTACTGGTTCACTTCACTGGGTCTTGCAAAGCCTTCAAATACAATTTGTGAAGATCTCCGAGACTCTCAGGGGGAGGACGTCATTTATTGCCACTTCTCACTGCTTTCCTGTATAATGCTTTGCTGCTTGTGTTCTTCACCCGGTCTTTATCCCTTCCTTATGCCTGGGGATCTCCTTTCTCCCCTTCCACTCGCAGGTGTGTGCTTTGGCTGGTTATGAGGGTGTGTGAGCACCTGGCTGTTGACACTGTGGCTGTGCCACCCAGATGCATCCGTGTGTCCTGGGATGAGCTGAGGTTGGGCTGTGGACCACCTTGTCCTCACAGGAGTAATGCAGGAGGGCTGGAGAAAAACAGTCCCAGTACCGGCAAGGAACTCAATGTTAACTTGTAAAACCCCCTTCTCCTTTTTTAACAGGATTTCGCAACCTGCATGTGGATGACCAGATGTCAATAATCCAGTACTCTTGGATGGGCCTTATGGTGTTCGCTATGGGTTGGAGATCTTTCACCAACGTCAATTCCAGGATGCTTTACTTTGCTCCAGATTTGGTCTTCAATGAGTAAGTGCGAAATAGCAACAATCTAATACTGTGTTCTGTTTGGGTCAGACTAGGTGAGAACAAATCAAGGCATTTGTTTTCATTATGGAATGTGTAGCTTAGTAGTCGTACTTTCAGGGCTGACCAACAAAGCATAGGAGGGCCCAGCTTTTTGTCCTCTAACTGCTCTGCAGTGATCTCCAGGAGCAGTATGTGCAGGTGTAGTGCCTCTCCTGGTCCTTCTTCCTTTTCCCTTAGCCTTGCCTTGGGTTCGACTTTCATTGGGCAAGAGCCGGTGGTGAGTGTGAAGGGCTGGTCTGTATAGACCTGCCTTTTCTCACTGGGACTTGAGTTTCTATTTCCAGCTTGGTTGGTCAGCTGGAGCGAGTAGGAAGAGCAGCAAGCTTTTAATGCAAGTTCCTGATGGGTTCTCTCTTATGTACCATCAGCTTAGAGTTGGTGAGGGTTTGTTGGCATGAAAGTAGAAGAGCTTCAGAACAATAACAATGCACAGCCGCAAGCAAAAGCATACCTTGTCTCTGAGAGCTCCGAGCTCAGCTTCCAACCCCTTGCAGATAGCCACACTTAGTGAATCACTGCAGCTGCTTTTCAGGAAGGCAGAGGGTCAGGTGAACCCTGCGAGTCCCACGTAGCCATCCATTTCCGGATGGGAATTACATGCAGGCATTTTGGAAAGCATTCTGGTCGTGTGTGCAAGCCAGCATCTCCCAAGACAGAGCTCAGGTTCTTGGCACGGGGGACGTGCCAGGCGAGGCTGGATTGCTGGGATGGGCAGCGCGTGCCCTCCCGTGCACAGCGCGCAGGCAGCGCTTGCTTTGATCCTCTCGCTGTGCCTGACGTGTCTCGCCCTGCAGGTACCGGATGCACAAATCCAGAATGTACAGCCAATGTGTCAGGATGCGGCACCTCTCTCAGGAGTTCGGGTGGCTTCAGATCACACTGCAGGAGTTCCTCTGCATGAAGGCTCTACTCTTCTTCAGTATTAGTAAGTTCTCACATCCTTTCCTCAGCAGAGCTCCAGTTGCTGCGCACTGTATTGCCATAGATGTCTCTGATGCTTTCCCTGTGCGTGTGCTCGTACTTTCCAAGGAACGGCTGTGGATGTTCTCCCCTCTGCTTCAGTCTGAGCTGCTCAGACATAAGGAGCTGTCAAGCATTCAGGTGCCCTCACCCAGCCCCTGCAGCTAGCCCATCCCACCCCTGCACAGCGCAGCATTTCCACATGCAGTTCCTGCAGGAGGTTGCTCCTCAGCTCAGCTCCTGTCATCACAGGGTCTCCGAGCATCAGCTGCAGAGCAGGAAACTAGTGCTTCAGTTTGTCATATTGCTTCTTATTTTTAACAAGCGCAGAACTTGGCTTAGCAGCCATCCAACGAGCTGATCAGAGTGAGGGCTATTGCAGAAGCAGAGCTGGTGAGCAGATCTTTCCTCTCAGGTCTGCACTGACCTCTTCCCCAGCCTTCCTCTGGCTCTTCTGTTTTTCCACTCTCTGTGCAGCTCTCACTGTTTCCCTCCCATGTTCCATCCAGTTCCAGTGGATGGCCTGAAGAACCAGAAGCTCTTTGATGAACTTCGAATGAATTACATTAAGGAACTTGACCGTATCATTGCTTGCAAGAGGAAGAACCCTACCTCCTGCTCTCGGCGATTTTACCAGCTCACCAAGGTCCTGGACTCCGTGCATCCTGTAAGAGGACAGTGAAATGTCTATGTATACACATAAGAAATTACATAAGAAAGAAACTTTTTACAGTGAGAATGATCATTCACTGGTGCAACCTCCCAGGATTGTGGTGGTCCCCGTCACTGGAGGTTTTCAGGATGTTAAACACTGGACAGGGTGTTCAATAGTGTCCTCCAGGTTCCCTTTCCCAGGGAAGGTTGGACTGGGTGATCTTTCAAGGTCCCTTCCAACCTGGGCTGTTCAACGATTTTGTGGTTTGTTTTTTAACTCTCATACACCTTTGCATGGACAGTATTGCAGCGTGCTCCTAGATTAAGCAACAGAGGAAAGACAGGCACCAAGTCTGCTGAGGGAGTGAGCTACCTGTGTCACTCCCTGCAGTAACCACTCTAGTGCTTGGGTTTATGGGCTTCCATTTTTATCAATGAAAAGCTCTTTGTCGATGGTACTTTTGTATTGTCAGCCTATCAGAACAGCTCAAACTCTCAGTGCCCTCAGTGAAACTTCTGTGATTACAGCAGTGAAACCAAATTCTCTATTTGTGACTTAAAGTTGTACTGGTGACACTTGAGCTAGACCTTTCTTTTTCCCTGGGGGAGAGCTCCATGCACATACAGTTACCGGTTTATAAGTGAAAAGTAATCCTTAATAACTGAAGTCAGCATCATCTGCACGGTAAGACGAGTTTCTGTAGGAGTAAAAAAGTGCCATTTCTATTCATCCCCATTTTTGTGGTACTGGGCAATGTCCGAGTGTGCAGGACCATGGCAAGTTATGCTCCATGCCCCCAGGGTGGGTCGTTCCCTCGCTTATCCTCGAGACGTGTACGTGCCATCTGACAGCTGCTAGCAAGGCAGCGATGGCCAGAGAGCAGAGCAAGGTCCAGCCGTGGCCAGCTGTGTCAGCTAACGCCTGCTTCTTGTCTTCCCAAAGAAATCACTGCCCGGGGACTTCTTGTGTAACGAGCTTTCTTTCTCTCCCAGATTGCCAAGGATCTGCATCAGTTTACATTTGACCTTTTAATTAAGGCACATATGGTGAGCGTGGACTACCCTGAAATGATGGCTGAGATCATCTCTGTGCAGGTTCCCAAGATCCTGTCTGGAAAAGTCAAGCCTATCTACTTCCACGCACAGTGATCTTCCGGAAGGACCTCCCAGTTCTGCCACCCCCATTTCAGCAATCTCCTGCCAGTTTTTTCTGCACTACTGTACTGCAGTGCCTTGGGGAATCCCCTCTACAGGCGGTGTGCCGGGAGGATGGACAGTGACAAACAGCTACCTGCTGGGATTCCCGAGATTTCTGTTTTTCGTGAGGTACCTCTTGAACTGAGCTACCTGCCTCAGCTTCTGCCTGGATTTGGCTGGCTCGCCGTGCTGGGACAGGGGACTGTGACACGGTGGCAGCGGCACCGTGCCTGTGCTCTCTCAGTTGTGCGTTTTCCACAGTGACTTGCGGTGGTCCAGGGCCACGAGCGAGCAGGAGAAATGCCAGCGGTCGTTGGGTTCGGTGTTTTTTTTAAAGAAGAAACAGGACAAGACAAGAAGCAGGTTGAGCCTGTAAGTGTGGGTGTGGGTTGCTTTACTGGCCTTCTTCAGGACTTTTAAATCGCATTAATGGTGCTGGGAAGCAGATGAGTTGAAATATTGCAGTAGAGAAACAGAGAAGAGCTGGGGGATGAGATGAACTTGCAGCCTGGTGACTTGGCAGGGCCTGCTGCTGACACAGAGCCACCATGCAGCTGCTGAGGGGTCTGCTCTGGACTGCATGCCTGCCTATGCAGCATCAGTATTAGCTGATGGAGCGTTACAGGGTGTCAGCAAAAGGGTTGGAGAGGAAGGTGACCTTCCCGAAGTCCCAAAGGTGACAAATGGCTACTGTTTACCACCTGGGATGGTTTTGCTATGTCCAGCCAAGCTGGGTCTTGGTCTGCCCCGCAGACTCCCAGGCACTCAGCAGTCACATTCCCATCCTCGATAGCTGCTGCTCCTCCAACACAGCCGTACTCGCTTCCGCAAGTGCCTGACGTTCTCAGACCTTATGCTTCCCCCTCCACCCGTGGGCAGCTGGGGCCCCTACCCAGCCCCTCACCAGCTCTGCTCCCGCTGGGTGTCCCCAGGCCCTGGGTTTCCATCTACATCACTTATTTCCCATTTGTCCCAACCATTCTTTCTGATGCCAGCAGACGAGCACGCCAGGAGCAAAGCAGCGGGGCTGGGATCTGCAGGACCTGTGAGGCTACAGGATTCCTGCTGTCAATCCCGTCCTTCGGGAGGTGGCTGTGACGACTGCCTGGTGCTGCTATGGCACTGCAGGGACTTACAAAAGAAACGCTGAAGAGACCTTCTGCCCTTCTAAGCAGTGCGCATGGCCCCTGCTGACTGCAGTGGTTGATTGCAGCCTGGGGGACGCCATCCCAAGCACACCGTCCCATGTGCTTCACCAGTCCACAACAGCCCAACGTGGCAGTGGCAGAGCCCAGGCCACAGGCGGATGCAGCACAGGCTGCAGCTCCACAGTGAGGATGGATAAATGCGCCCTGGCTTGACGGGTGGTTGGTCCACAGCCAGCAAAGAGCAAAGGCTGGGTGGTCTGCAGCTGCTGGTGGTCCTCAGCCGTCAGGAGTACCTTGAGAAATGCAAGGCTCGGTTTGTCAGGCTTGACTGTTTCATACCTCAGGTTCAGAAGGGAGCACAGGCCCATTCGATGCCCGTGTTCTGATTTATTTGGTGGGCTCAGTCTCCCACACAGTGGCCAAGCCTGCATTCCCCATTGTATTTCAGTTCCCTCTTCCTGCACAGCATGAGCACACCGGAACTGATCAGACACGTCCCCCCTGTGTAATATCAGCTGCTTGTCTGTGTCGGGTGTCTTTAAAAGCAAAGGGAATGAGGTTGCAGACAGTTGATTGCCACACACGTGTTGTGCAGTAAACAGCACTAATGCCTGCGCTGCTTGGACCATTCAGGAGCTGAGCATCGCCATCAGCTCTTCAGGCAGACGCCCTCACGGTACTTCTGGGTTCTTTGTAAACTCTCAGTAAAGCAAACTTATTTTACTGAGACACTTTTCAGTCACGCTGTGGGATTTTCATTAAGGGAAGGGGTAGGAGTAAAGCCCTTAAAACTATTGAAGGGGAGGAGCTATCTTTACAGTTGTTTGTGATGGGTTTTCCTCCCCTGCTAGATATGGCTTCCACTTGAAACCCCTTCGTGTGGATGGCAACAGAATCCTTACCTAACCTTCCTGAATGCCAGCCAGGAGGGCGGTGTTCTGAGTAAGCTTCTATTTTAGAGGGCTGCAAGCATTTTAAATGTTAATATGATCTACTAATATTTGCAAATGAACTGGTAAAAAATCCTGCTGGTGCACTTCTCTCTTCCTGAACATTTTCTGCAGAAAGCAGAAGGGCACAGTGAACAGCTGGCTGGGTACTCTCTCATCAATGGTTAGGATGTTTAGGAGCAATCTCAAGAGCTCCTTTGGAGAGCTCTATATTTTGCACAAGCTCTTGTCAGTGAAGTTTTCATTAGTTAATGAGTGGAGGTATCCTGCTAGGTACTCTTCTGCTGGGAGATTGGAAAGAAATCAAGTTTAATAGGGATTTGCATACACCGGTGTGCTAGTGGAAGCACAATGCAAATGAATAGCAGTTTAGAAGGGGATGCTGCCTGTGCATCATGTGCTGGATGCGTGCAGCTCGTGAGTGGTCAGGTTTGATGTGTGATGGGGCAGGAGCTTGGGTGAGGTGCCCCCGGCCAGTGGGCAGGAGCCAGCCAGGCTGTCACCAGTGAGCACCCCAGGGCTCCACTGTTCTCGGGTGGGCACCGGCTTTACGTTCTTTGTCTCTTCAGCATCAAAGCAATCTTCTGCAGCTTTTACATTCTGAAGTTGACTTCTTATGACATCGTTAGAGTGGTGACTGGAGGGTTCAGGAACTGGGATCGGGAGCAACTGTGCGTGTTTGCAGGGGGAGTTAACACTTCCCTTGTTTGTTTTCATGGACTGCTGCAGGAACTGCATCAAAATGAGGCTTAAGAAATACCAAAGTCCAGATCCTGTCATCTATCTGTACTTTATGTTCTCTTCTGCATTTTCTTGTCTTCTTTTGCTTTAATAAAGCAATGAAAATTTCACCATCCTCACAATCATGTCAGTGCTGTCCCTGAGGCTTCCCTTGGGATGGCAGAACCCCTGGAGGGGGGACCCCTTTGGCCTCGCTGATTCCAAATCCCACCTCAGATTCACCGAGGTAGATACCAAGTGAGTCGGCCCTGCAGAGGGGAGGCAGGATGCTCGCCACCTTCACCACCCCGTGCTCCTTTTGTTGCTCTGTTGGGGTCACTGCCAGTGTCTGCAGGGATGCTGAGGTGGTACCTGAGGTGACCACTGCCTCCCATCAGCTGGGCTCACTGCCCTCCCCTGCCACGTCACCACCAGCACAGGTCCCTGCAGCAACCTGTTCCATCAGCTGCTGCTCCGCTTGCTGAGCTCTCTCCCTAGATGTTTCAATGCCATATGTTAAATGTACATATATACTAAAATAAAAGCATGCCCCACTTTATATTGCTAAAGAGATCTATTTAATATAATGCTCTAAGGGAGTTTCTTTTCTGATTGCACACTGCAACTAACCACTCTTCAGGAGACGAGTCAGTGTATGCCAGTAATAATGGAAACATTCAATTTAATGTTTTTTCTGGTTAGGTATTGCCCAGTTTTCAAAGGTCCATCTGTTCATGGCAGGAATGGGGCATACACTGGTGTAGTCTGGTGTCGGTATCTGCTTCTCCAGCTTTCTTGTAGCTGAGACAGGCGTAGTGTTTGCACTTGAGGGACAACAGAGTGTCCTTTGTTTCTGCCCTCTTTGACTGCACAGGGTCTTTGCACTTTTGGGCAGAATCCTGGAATTACGGCGTGGTAGCTGTTTTCTCACTCTTTCAAAGTAGACTTCTGGAGGCGCAGAAAGCCTTTCACGTGCCGTAAGGACGGGCCAGGTTGTGCTCAGCACTGTCATGACCCAGTGCCCAGCCTCAAATGACACGGAGTTCCTGGAGAATGGCTGTTGGGCAAGATGCCCCTGTGTCTGAGGGACAGGCAGAGGTCACCAGTGCTGCCTGCTGGGATCCGGGGCAGGTTGTGGTGTGGCAGCATGGAGCTGGAGCTGCTCTGCACCCACCTACTCCCATGCAACACGGAGGGGCTTATGCTCATTCCCTTTAGAAATGGCAGGGGAACCTGCATTTGTGATTCAGAAAGTAAACATCTGCACCACACATAAAACCACAGCAAATCTATAGTGAGCTGCTCTCTGTGCTGGATATTTTGTGTTCTGTGGCAATTTTGTGCTGGTTTTATTTGTTAACACGTCTGTAATGAAAAGAGTTCTCTATATTGATATATTTTATTTTCTTTGTAATAAGCCAAAAAAGCTCATTGCTGGTGCCTTTTTGCCTGGGGAGGACTCCCAGCCCACAGCTATATTCATGAATGTAACAAAGCATAATGTCTCTGCAATTGCTTGTTTCACCATAGCTGAGTAGAGTCATGGAGCAAACACTGCAGGATTACCAAAAGAAAAAGCTCAAGTAGCCTACAGAATGGGCAGAAAGACTCTTCAGCTACAATAAGGGTTATTTCCCCAGGCATGGTTCCAAGGCGAGGGCTGAGCTTTCAGCTTCCTCCTGTGTGTGACACAGAAGTCTGTGCCCTGGTGGGACATTGCTGCGTTGCGAACCTTTAGCCTCTGCAAGTCATGCAGTGAGGCCAAAGCATACACATATCACTTTATTGCGGCTGCAGCCATATTACGGTTGCAGCGTTTTTTCAGTCACCTTTCAGAAATGGCAGGATTTTGCCCAAATCAGTGGCGTCTGAGGCCAAATTCTGCTTCTAGAGAAGGACGGTAGTTGGACTGTTGCCTCTGTTTTGTTTTGTTTTTTAAATTGGAACTGAATGCTTTGAATAAGGCAAATGGAGACTTACAACGTTACGTTGGCAAGAGTGGAGAGCAGTGATGTCGCTGCCTTGGCCAGCGAGGTGTGTTGGAGGATGCCCAGGAGATGACCGTGACTCAGAAGTCACCATATGGGACTGAGGGACGTTTATTCTCATAGCCAGAGGGAAACCTGCCTGGCATCCGGGATAAAGACAACACCAGTTACGCTAGGGGAGATGAAAACATTCACTTTTTGACTGGTTTACTCCATGCTTGGGTCCCACGTGAGCCCTCACCCTGTGCTGTACCACAGAGCAGACCTGCACGCTTGGTGTTCCGCTCTTTTTGTAATCTTAAAATCTGTTGTTGTTCTAAGTACAATAAAGGCAGAATCTTGTTTCTTGGAACGCTGCTCAATGTGTGGTTTTTGGCTTTTGTTACAGTTAATGTGCATGAAAACCGTTACCCAGTGTGACAAATACTAGCTGTTGAAGACGCCAGGAGAAAGCAGGTTATTTTTCAGTGGGTGAGGCTGCATGTTGGGGCATTCATAGGTTGGTTTTCACAGTCAGATTTTGCTATTAATCACATATCTGAACTGTTAATTCATTTACATATCAATTGATTAATCCTTTCATATGTGCCTCTTTGGGTCTTTTAAATTGAATTTCGTTTGATTATTGTATTTCTCAAAGCAAGCAGCTAATAAAGGCCAGTGTCCTCCTCCTCTTGTTGTTATTTTCACTATCTTTACGAGCAGTTGTAAATCCATTGTGCTGGAACTTCATAAAATTAACCTATGTTCTCCCAAGTAATAAAAAAAGACTGCCTGCTTTTTAATTCAAGGCACAGATGTGAATGCTGCACAGGGTCAAGATTCTGTTCACTGTGAGACGAACCAAAGAGCTTGGGAAAAAAAATAATACCTCATTAGTCCACAAATAGCTGGCAATGTCTAGTGTGTAATTGCGCAGCAGCGGTACACGTACCAGTGCCCTGCAGCCTGAAAGCAGAGTGTACCGAGTGGTACAAAAAGCCTTGCCCACGTGGAGTAGCATCCTGTTTAGTCATCTGCAGAGAATCTGGTCCCATGCCTCTATCTGAGTCGGTTGCCTATGAATGTCTGTTCTCAACATTCACCCTTAACTGACATGGAGAAACCCATGGCCGTTCATGGGCTGTGGTGCTGTCTCAGATACCTGTCACCATGTTCACCCCACTGTCCCCCATCAAGCTTTTACTTGGCCACCAGTGTCACCTAGGGCATTCGGGAGCTGCTGGTCCAACACATGAGCTCTCTGTTGCTGGTGCTGGCAGGGCTGCCCCATGTCTGCCCCACAACATCACCACAAGCTGAGGACAGGACGCTTGGTGCCACCCAAGCAGGGGCCAGGGACCATGTTCTGGGCGCAACCAGGCTGTCAAGTGTCTCCATTGCCGCTGTGACTGCAGAAGAGCAGAGCCCAAGCTGCCAACCCCACTGTGCAGCAGAGCCAGGGGCAGCCCAAAGTCCTGACCTGGGGGAGACCCTCTCCATTCCAGCAGAGACAGGAGCTCAGGGGCCTCAGTGCAGCTCAGGGGGAAGGGAGAAATGCTCAGGCCAAGTGCTCTGTCCTTGGCAGTGGACACAAACCTGCATGATGTCCATAATAACCATCCAGCTTAGAAGCAACACCCCGCAGGAGGAAGGAGGACTTGCTGGGGGGCCCAAGAGGGCTGCAGAGCTCTGCTGCACGCTGCCAGGTCTCTGCTCTGGGCTCTAACCCTGCTGGCCCGGTTGGCAAATAGCCTCTGTCCCAGGCAGGCTGCCAGGTGCCTTTACTGGACCTTTGTGATAAGGATGCAGCTGGAACCTTTTTCTGACCAACTCGATGGGGCTGCTCGGAGCCTGGGCAGCACTTGGGATGCAGGAGGCTGGACTGAGGCTGTCTTCTGTGAGGGGGGCTGGAATGGCAGAAACTGAATCAATCTTACTTTGTTTTGGGGTTTTTCTTGGCTGAAAAGATCTCAAGCGGACCTAAAATGGTTCCGTGCTTTAAAGCAGTTTGTTTGCCTTTGTCCTTAGAACAGCCAGTGGGAACACTTTAAAACAAAAAAATTGCTCCATTTCCTAACCCAATAATGACTTGCTTTAAACACACATTTCGACAGTGGTTTTACCCCCCCAGGGCCCCAGGAGCACTGCTCACACTGATACAGCTGCACTGGCAACCGGTTCCCTGCAGCCTTCTGGCTCTATCAGCTTTGGGGTTGCACTGACCCTCAAGCTGCGCCAGCACAAGCCGGGGAAAGGAAATGCTCTGCATGTCCTGCTTGTTCAGATGTGAATGAACCATAGCCCAAAGCATGCCAACAGTGGGGACCCCCTGCAGGACACCCGCCTGCAGCCACCCATGCCCCACATTGGCAGCATTCACCTCCTCCTCCTCTGGCCGCAGGCAGTCTCCCCTACCCACTGGTCCTTTCTCCATTGAGTGAAGGATGGTGGTGAGCCATGCTACCGACAGGCTGGTGCCTGCACGTGTCATGTCTCTGCATTGCTCAAAGGGTTCAGAATCCAGCCACTGAACTGTCCTGTGACTGACCTGATATCTTACCCAGTCAAGGAACGGAAACAGGACCAGGAGCCACCAGAACACCAGCTTTTCACAGGTCTAAAACTGCCCGTAGAGTACTTAAAGCAGTTGCAGACAATGCGTGGGACTACAAACCAGGTGTGAAGGATTCCCAGCCTTGAGATGTGACAGGGCCTGGTCATGAGCAAATTAACTGCTTATTATGAAAGTCCTTTAAATTTAGGTTAGTTTCTCCAGGTTGTGTAACACAAGTTTTTGCAGCTCCCTCTGAGACAGACTAACCAGAACACCAGGCTTCATCTGGAGCCCTCATCCAAAGTGGGAATGCTGGCATCCCACTGCCCTGCACCAGTACCGCAGCTGTGGTCAGGGCTGGGAGAGGCACCGGGAGCTGCTCTGCCCTCTCCATGCAGCCGCAGCCCTCAGCAGGGTCACGCTGACCCGCGTGCTCTTGACACGAGGAACATCGGCCAGCTCTGGGGTTTGCATTCCTGCCGCCTCCCACCGCAGCCAGCAGGGAGATGCCAAGGAGAGGGCGAGCAGAGCCCTGTGTGCCCTTGTCCTCACCAGGGCAGGGTGACAGCAGGGGCATGGCATGGCAGCGCAGTGCCGGGATGGCAGAGGCACAGAGCAAAGGATGCCTGACCTGCAGGAGGACAAAGGTCCTGGGGGCAATGCCTCAGGGAGAGGACTGTATTTCCCTAAGCCTCCATGGGAATGGCAACACTACATATATGGATTCAAGCATCTCCAGAACTGCCTTTTAGGAGCGCTCGGAGAGTCCGACAAAGGCTGTGAAAGCACTTCTTCCAGAAGGAAAACAGAGAACACTGCCGCATTCCCTGGTTCAGAGCATCTCCTGACTTTTTAAGCCAATTGCAGGATTTTTTTTTCTGGTGGTCTGACTCTGTATGGATGCATAGGCCAAGTAATGCTGCTGATGGCTGCCAAGAAAATGTCTGGTGTAGAAGGCTCTGATCTTGCAAAAAGCCCTGTGTGGGTGGATTCCTGAGCCATCGTGGGTCTCTGCGCAGCACATAAATTCAAGATGTCTGTGCTCCACTAAGCACATTTCAATGCTAAATTTATCATACAGATGTGTCTACTGAAGTTCACCCTTAACCTCTCCAGATTCTTCTTCCTCTGGGAAGTCCTCACTGGGGCCCAGTCTCAAGCTTCGAAACGTCTGCTTGTGCTGTCTTTTCTCGTATACAAACCTACAAGGTTTTGCTTATGCTGAAGAAGATTTCTTTCTTGCTCAGTTAGATCAAAACATTCTCCTCTACAAAATAAACCACGCACCTGTAGGCGGGGACACCAGAATTGTTGGGATAGTGCCCTGTTGCATATTCCAATTTGTAGTCATTTAATGTGAGGGCTAATGGGAAAACAATTTTTTTCTCGCTGTCATTTTGAAGACATCCATCCCTGGAAAAATTATAGCCCCCAAAGGAAACCTTTCAGAGAAACAAAAACAGAGTGGAAAAAAACCCAAAAAGCTCTCAAGTTGCTGCTTGCCATCACAGAATGGGATGGATTTGAAGCTCACGCAGTTCCAACCCCCCTGCCACAGGCAGGACCATGCTCGGCAGGAGCGATGCTTGCTCAGGGACTGCAGCCAGGGCAAGCCACAAGCCTGCAAACCTGGATTCATGCTGCAAAGCTCAGCAGCCTTATACTAGGGCTGGGATGGTGTGAAACAATTGCACAAGGACACGGAGAAGGACACCAGGCCCAGCCAAAGACCCTCACCGACAACCAGAGCTGAATTCATCCCTCTCAAACCACTGGAGCAGTTCCTGATCTGCAGGTTTGCCCAGCTACACGATATTAGGTTAAAAACATCAAATAAATTCCCCAACAAAGCAGTGAGCACTTTATAAGTAGAAAGATGTTTGTGCTGGAAGCGGCAGCTGAACGATCTGGGGAATCCAAACCACACAGTGGAGCTGTGGCTGCAGATGCTGGCAGTGAGGAGGGCTCCGTCAGCCCCAAGGACACACAGCCTTGCCTTGCCGTGTCCCTGCAGTGCTGGGACAGGTCCTGTGCCGCCCATGGGACCAGAGCAGTGGGACCTGCGCAGCAGAGGATGCCTGCAGTGTGGCAACACTTGAGCATTGCTTAAAGATGGAAAGAAGCACGCTTGGGCTTTTTTTTTTTTTACTTCATGGAAATTTTATAAACACTTGAAGTAAACTATGCTTTTACACGACAAACCGGCTCCGGGGGCGGATGCGTGGGGGCCCTGCCACGCTGCACAGGGTGAATGCCGTGTTCCTGGCTGTGTCGCTCCTGTGGCGATGGCAGCAGGGATCGTGCCCCACAACTCTCCACCAGCACAACCCAGCACCCTGTTACTGCTCCGCTGCTGGTCCCAGCCTTCAGCTGCTCTCACAGAGGAGGAAAAACCAGCACAGACACTCATGTGACAAATGCCTAAAATTACACAATGGAATACGTTTCTAATAAGCTGCTTCCCTCCATTGTTCACAACACCAGACTTAAAAACAAAGTCCCTTGGTTCTTTTTCTTTCCACAGCCCCAGCTCTGTCCCACAGGGTCTGCGCTGGGTGGTGAGCATGAGGCTGCCTGTACACCAGCAGTGTAGGAGATGCAACAACCATTGTTTCCAGGTCCATATGCAGAGGAAACACCAGAGACACCCATGTCTATGCAAGTCCGTGTGCTTCCCAAGCCAAGAGCCTCAAGGAGTTCTCAAAGCACAGCCCAGAGAGTGAAATGCTGGCCTTCTGTGGATGAGCCCCTGGCCTGGCACCTCTGGGACAGCCATCCCAAGAATGAAGCCACCAAAGGGCAGGCTCAGGCACCAGTGCTGCCTACAGCGGGATACCTGGGACTGGTTTCTCTGCTGGGTGGCTGGAGAGGATTCCCAGCCATCTGGGCTGGTCAGAGCACCTCTCCCCTGGCTTGCAGCTCCATCTTAACTGCTCTCTTAGATACCTGATCAGAAAAACACAATGATGTGCTTTGTTTCAGCACTGCTCACACCTCCCAGCCACTTGCCAGAGGGTGCAGCACAAAGGGTTCACCGCAGCTTTGAAAAGCCCTGAGATGCCAGAGTGTGTAACACAGTCCAGATGTTGATACCACTGGGGTTTCTGTCTTTTAAAGCCACTTTTACGTGCCACTG